TAAGAGGCAAAAACCTCATATATAGAGCATTTTAACCATTTTTCCCTTTTGGAAAACAAATCGCTTAAGGTGTGGTGCTATAGTTCATGTTTTTCCTCTGGTGGGATCTAAAAAGTCCCAAATTAATGACTACAAAGTAAAAATTGACATGAGAATTTCATCTGGACCCTCACTGATACAGTGAGTATGCAGCTGCTTTCCCACCTTCTCCTAGGTATCTAAAGTGCCTTCCTCTAGGAACCAAGGGCAAGTTTAAAACTTCAGCAAGTTGATGACTTTTAATCAATGCCCTCAAGCTTTAAGCATTACTCTAAGCATTTGCACATTAAGGTCCTCTTGTGAGAACCTGAATTCCCCATGTTTCACACCCAGCTACTTGCCGGGTTTCTGTTCTCCGACTAAAAGGCTCAGGGGTCACTCTAGTTAAACTGGGCTAACTGGGCTGCACGAAATAACCACACAAGAGACACAAATACCTTTTTCTTTGGGGTCGCTGTGACGGCTCCTCTGACCTTAAGGGTCCGCAGGAAGAGAGAGATCGAGAGCATGAGCTGACCCCTTTTATTGAGGAGAAGCTATTCAGATGAGGCAAGGGGTCAGGTTTCAGGGGGCTGAGTCTATCTTCATGATGTCCACTGTCAGCAGGTTGACTGACACCTGGGTAGGGCCACACCCAAGGGAACAGTAAGAGAAGGGGACACACGGAAGGCACTTCCATGGAAAATTCTATCCTAAACAGGGCAAGGGGTTATATTACAAAGGAACAGGTGAGCGTAGTTTCACCCATGGGGCTGTAGCAAGACACACCCATGCACCAGACACCGACCCTCGCACCCAAGAAGGGTGAGGAAAGCTCTGCCACGTTTTTGCAACTGAGTGCCTCAGCACCCAGCCAGGGAGTGTAACCCAGTCACATGTAAGGTTGGTCTCCCACAGCTACTGATACCCTGCTATTGATATTTGCTCCTTACTTGCAACCTCTTCTTTGGTCACCTCAAAATTTTGCTATGCTACACAGTGACCTTTTCTTTTGTTGGGATCTCAAAATTTTATACATTCATTTTTCCAAGAATGTTCTCATCTAATTATTCTTTTTCAAGTTCCCCTGTACTCAAGCCCCTCGTTGGGCACCACTTGCTGCGACCTGCACAGCAACAACGAAGGATCTCGAGTAGGGGTGACCTGAGATCAAGAAAAACACAGACATTTTTAAGGAAAACTGGGACCAGGTGGGATACTGCCCTCCAATGGAGGAACAGTGACCCCAGAACTAGCTCAGCAGGTTTATTATATAGGGTCTCATAACCAGGAATTTTCACTATAGAGGCTTTGTAGATTGTTCAAGGCTTGTGAGTTTTCAAGAGGCTTCTTTGTGCACTAAAAACTTAGAAACATTTTTGTGGCTAGCCTGCTGTACCGAGAAACCCCATTGTACTGGAATGTCTGAAAACTACTGACGTCAGAGCTGAGTATCAAGGCTGTTTGCACCCTGGCCTTTTGGCAAGGAATGTTTCCCAGGCTTGGGCTTTTATCTGCACTGCAGGATCAGCTGATGGCCAGGGCCCATTCACTCTCCATACAGGCTACCTTCCCTGGCTAGCTGGGACTTATTAAATAAAATATATGCCTTTATCTCTCAGCACATCATTTGTCAGATTATTTTATATATTTAATCTGGTTTGAATCTATGACCATTGTACTTACCAATGAACTTTTTCTTGTAATTTATCCTTTTGTCTGTGTCCCTAGCAGTGGTTTGCAATATCTATGACCGTTTGACTTCATGGGGTACTTACTCTATATGTGGTAGGTCCAGTCACAGGGGTCATAAATGTCCCCATGGGAAATGAGAGGAGAGAGCCCAGCCTGAGTTCCTTGTTCCCTGGAGCAGATGCCTGATGCTGCCACCTTTGAGATTCAAAGCCCATGGTCCCCAATCTCTTCAAATGATTTGATTCTGTTCTGTTGTCCAGGAAAATGGTTCTCCTATATGAACCTAGATATGAAATGTGGATTGTGATCTTTGTCAGTTCTGTGGTTGAGGCAGAGACTATCTTAACTAGGTCTCTCTCAAAGCTTTTCTTTCTTCCCTGTTTATGTTTCCCTGGGCTGTCAGCGTTGAGACCATAAATCTCCCATTTCAGAATCCATTGCTGCTGCAGGTGTGGCTCTCCTGGGTGACCCATGCTACCCACTTCACTGCAGCGGTTCACAGAGACTTTTGTGTCCACTGGGAAGAACTGCACACAGGTCTGTAATACTAACACACATGGACCTGTAATGCTGTCAGCTGTGGATTGTTACTATTTTAGTTCCAAAAATGATTTTATAACTTGATCAAGAGCAATATTTTTACTTCAGAGTTCTACTATCATGTATTATTCTCATTGTTGTAGGTCACACCTTTGTGTCTTTGACTTCCTTCGCCAGCCTATTGAATGAATGTTTTGCAGATGCCTTTCTGTCTGTCCTAAAGTGAAAAAGACAGCCACACTGCACACACATGGAGCATCGAAGACCAATCAAAGCAGGCTCTTAATGCAACTATAGACTTTGCAAAATTATTGTTTAAAAATCTTCATAATAGCATCATTGTACTTCCTGAGCATGACACATCGAGAGTTGGTCTTTTATGTTGGTGAAATAGTGTTGCTGGGTCTTTCCTCCCTGTCTACTAGTGTGTGCAAGTTCACATTAATGCTGTGCTCAATGTCACATCACACCAGGACACCCAGGTGATTCCACTGTAGGTGGTTAATAGTATGAGGGCCGTGCTATTTCCTCATCTAGGTTTCTAACAGGATGCCCGGCTGGTCTCTGTTGGATGAACTAAGGAGGATTCTTTAGCTTCTTCTGGACCTGGCTTTTGTATTCTGCGCCCCCCCCCCCCAGTGCTGTATGGTTCCAGGTGTGAAGGGAGGCTGAGCCTGCCTGCTTTGGAAGGCAGCACTCTTCCTGAAGTGGGAGTGGTCCTTCTTTTTAAAAGCCAACATATAGGCCCAAGGTAGATACACAAAAGTGGGGAAGAGCTATAGGGGAGTTAGTGGGGACCAAGGATTAGGGAGTTGGAACATTAATAAGCACAGCAATTAATTTGGGGTTAAAAGAATAAAAAGCTTTGCTCTTTCCAAAATTTTAAAACTTGAAAATGTTATGAAAAAGTCCATGAAACTTGGAGGAAGAATAATGTGAATGTTATTAGTCCCTTCATACCACAGCAAGAATTTTTTTCTTTTTGACCTTACCTGAGATTGGATCCATTGGATGGAATCATTTAGAATCCTCAAGAATGCTGAACATGTAAAGATAGATGCATTCAAACTATTTTACTGCATTATGTGTATTAGAATATTTAGGTCTTTGTTATTATGATTTTTGTCTTGGGGAGAGTTCACTGGTGATTTCGTCATTATGTGTGAGCACTAGATGGCAGTGTGGATTTTTAAGATTAGGCCCAGAGCAACAAATTTCAAATAATTTAAAAAAAAAAAAAATTCATTTTTTTAGTTGTAGTTGGACACAATACCTTCATTTATTTATTTTTATGTGGCGCCTCAGCCTAACCCTAACCCAGGATCGAACCTAGGGCCCCGCACGTGCTAGGCGAGCGCTCCACCGCAGAGCCACGACCCCAGCCCTCAAGTAAATTAACTGTGCTCGTGGTGCTATACTTGATACCTCTTATAACTGAAAGTTCATTCCCTTTGACCAATATTACCCCCTTCAATCTTCCCCACTCTTCAGCATCTGGTAACCACTGTTCTACTCCTTTACCTAGTCCTTTTTATTTTTTAATTTGTTTTGCTGAGGGTCTTCTCACTAAGTTGCTAAGGCTGGCCTTGAATTTTTGCTTCTCCTGCCTCAGCTTCCTGAGTCCCTTGAATTACAGAATTACTGATTACAGGAGTGAACTATCACACCTGACTATTGGGACTTATTTTATGACCTCAAATTTACTGGAGCAGAAACTCGTGTGCAAAAATATCTGCAAGAACCAGTGCCTGTGTAGGTAAACCTAAATTGCAATCCATGAATTTCTGGAGGCTTGGTATGGACAGATAATATCAATTATTGAGATTGCCTTATTCTTTATTATCTCCTTCAGATTTGGGTCCAAATATGCTTCTCCCATTAAAACTTTGAAGTGCGGGCTAGGGAGCCTCTGGACCGAGGCGCCCCAGTCTCCCACCTGGCAGTTGCCCGCGATCCCGTCGCCCGCTCTGCCTCCCCGCAGTTTCCTACTTCCCGGCACCCAAACTCCGACTCACTAGAAAACACTCAGCCTTGCCCCGCCGCACTCCTCCAGGCCCAAGCTCGAGGCTGCCGGCCCCCGTCCCTTCGCCCACCCGGTCCACACAGCCCCGCCGGAGCCCGGGATAAGGGCCTCCGTATTGCGCACGTCCTCGCGAGCCGGGCCGGACTGCTGACCCTCTCAGGGCCGGGCAGGCCCACGGAGGCCCAGATGGGCAACTGCGGGGAGTCCGGCCCGCCGCCCGCGCACACGCCGCTCCCGCAGCCTTCAAGGCCCTGCAGATCTAGCGGCCCGGGCCGCGCCCCGTCCGCCCGCGCCCGCCAGTCTTCCAGAGCCTCGGGGAGGCCGGGGTAGGGGCGCCGCGGCGGAGCAAGGGCGGCGCCTGAAGGACTCTAGGGCGGCGTGGGTTAGGAGCCCGGGCCCCGCCCTGCACTGTTTCCCTCCAGGTGCCGGGCGCTGACCAGACCTGGCAGAGGTGAAAGCCGGGCCCAGGGTTCCCCTCACCGAGACAGGCGCTGGGGGTCTGCACTGCTAACTGACAGGGCCGTGCTAGTGCAGGGAGAGCTGGCTCTGCGGGGGGCGGGGCGGGGCGAAGGCGAGCACGTGGGCTGCATGGGGCGGGGCTTAGACGGGGACGCGGGTGTGCCGAGCCCCGGGAGCCGTGAGGTGGGGCGTGGAGCGGGCGTGCGGTGGGGCGGGGCTGCGCGGCGTGGTGGGTGTGCGTGGAGGCGGGGCGAGAAGGTGGGTGTCCTGCGCGGCGGGGCCTGGAGCGGGGCCTGCCCTCGCCGTGACCTCTGGACTCCTGTGGCGTGCGACGCTGGAGTTGGCGGGCCGGTCGCACCGTGGGACCCTGTGGGAGCCGTGGGCGTCGGGGTGGGCGCTGGAGCTGAGGTGATTTCCGATCTGGTGGGTTGGACTCCCAAGAAAAACCTGACGTCTCAGGGATTCTTTCTCCGTTCGGGTTCCGCTCCGCGCGGCGCCGAGGAGGAATAATGGCTGCCACCTACCAGGTAGCTGGGCCTTTTCTGGCTTTCTTTATTGTGGCTGTCGATTTTTCTGTTTTGATTTGCTTGCTTGCTTAAAAGTCTTGCCCGATTTACCCTGGAGTTAAGTGGGACCGAGTGACCCGATTTCTAGTGTTTACTGTGGGGAACGATGTTCGGGGGGTGAAGGCCCCGTGCATCGCACCCGACCCCAGCGTTCCACCATAATTTGACCAGAGTTTTCAGTTTATTGATTTTTATTATAAAATTATATTGTCTTTTTCGAGGACTTGGAAAATACACAACATAACAAAGAAGAATGTTAGAATTCCAGTCTCCAAACGATCACCATTAATATTTTGATGTAGTTTTATTTCATTCTAGTGTGTATACTTATACTATTTTTATGGTTTTATAATCAACAGTATTGTTTAAATTTACATTGTAACTTTGTCTTTAAATACTTAATGAAATCAACGTTTTCATGGTCACATAATATTTCTTTGTGCAATGATTTTTTTTTTGCTTTCATTATAAAACATATGGAGAATTTACTAAGAAATACAGAGTAGGGCTGGGGCTCTAGCTTAGTGGTAGAGCACCTCTTGCACTCCTGAGCCCCTGGGTTCGATCCTCAGCACCACATAAAAATAAACAAACAAATAAATAAATAAAATAAAAAAGAAATACAGAGCACACTCCGGTAACCTTTGGCCCTGGCAATACAGAAGACTGCAAACACTTCAGTAACCCAATCAAGACCCTTCTTCCCTCTGACACGTTTTATGATAATCAGTTTTTTCATTATAGTTTTACCTACCAAGTTTGCATCAATAAATGATAACATGTGTTTTTACTTTTTGTTAACTTTATGATATGCCTCAGTAAATGATACCATTTATTCTTTTTGTTAACTTTATGTAACCGTTTCTATCCTTTCATATTATGCTACTTTTAACGTTATAATTAAATCTGGTTTTTTTTTTCATTTTGTTGAGTAGCATACCCTTACATGAAATCAGTTAATTTATATGTCCTTTACATTGTTGATGATTACTTGCCCCCCCCTCCCAATTTTGGGCTATTCCATATAATGCTGCTAGAACATTTTTGCACATAACTAGCGATGAACAGGAATTCACATTTCTCTAGGATTATACATTTAGGATGGAATTGCTGGGTAATAGAATATGCCTGCCTGTTTCAGCTTTTTTTTATTTAATTGCCAAGTACTTCAAATAGTTGTGCCACTTTGCAGCTTTCCTAGCAGTAAACAGTTTCCTTGACTCTTAATTCCTTGTTTCTACATCAGTATGTATTATTATTCCTTCATCTTGGTTTCCTTTAAGTTTTTATTGAATACTAACAAAAGTAGAAAAAAAGTGCAAGTATATGAATGTGTGGTGAATTTTCACTAACCTGATTCCTGGTAACATCACTCAGATCAAATAAGAGAAAATTACTGCATGGTGCAATGAGACAGATATTATTACTCTCTTTACATGTATGATTATACTACAGGTGTGACTGCATCACAGCCAGAGGAATGAAAAGTTGTGCTCCGTTTGTGTACAGTTTGTCAAAATAATTCAGCTGTCATGTATTACTAATTGGAGCAAATTTTAAAATTAAAAAAAAGGGAAAATTACCAAATTTCATTCCTACTTCTACTTTCCCACCACTTTTCCCTGCCCTGCAAGGGTAACTTGTTCTGACTTCTACCATTAAATTGGTTTCTGAACTTCATATAAATAGAATCAAGTAGTGTAGGCCCTTTTGTGTCTGGTTCCTTTATGTCTGTATTTTGTTTCAGCATCATTCATGTTGCTGTATTTACTTGAAATTCACACATCTTCCTTGCTGTGTGTTATTGTTTGAAAATATCATGCTCTGTTCATTTTGTTTGTTTGTTTTTTGTTTGCATTGCTAGAGATTGAACCCAGGGCCTCACCATGCTGGGTGAGGGTTCAGCAGGTATGGGCTGTCCAGTTCTGATGTTGGCAGTCATTTGGATTTCCATTCTTTGGTTATTGTAAGCATCTTTTTAGAGATTGGAAAATATACAAACTAACAAAGATTGTTAAAAATCCCAGTCTGTAAGCAACTACTGTTAATATTTTGAACAATGTTTCATTTGATCAATATTATACATTTTAGAATCAGTGTGTCAATTTCTATTTAAAAATCCTGCAGCCAGGCACAGTAGCAAGGCCTGCAATCTCAGCAACTGGGGAGGCTGAGGCAGGAGAATCACAAATTCAAAGACAGCCTGGGCAACTTAGTGAGATCCTATCTAAAAAAAAAAAAAATAAGAAAAGGGCTGAGATATAGCTCAGTGGTAGAGCATTCCCCCCCCAAAAAAAAATCTTCCAGGGATTCTGTTTGGGTTATGGGGGAAACCTTACTCATGGTACTGTGGCACAGCCAAGTGGTTAATTCAACCACTGTCACAGAAGTTGAATTAACACATTATCACAGCTGCTGATTTGAGACTGTAGAAGAAGAAATTAATGAAGTAAGCAGAGTAAAGCCCCTCTCCCCTAGAATATATGTCCAGTAGCCAAAGGGGGGGGGGACAGTAATTTTTTCTAAATGATAGATGTATGAACTAAACCTGGATATGGGGAGAGAAAGTAGAGAACTAAAACAGAAGTTCACAAACAGAAGCCCAATGGAAACTAAACACACTAAAAGAATTTATACAATAAAAAAGATGAAAATATGTAGCTTTTGCACTTTCACAACAAAGTTAACTTTTAATATTTATCACAATGCACAGAGAAAATTGGCAAATCTGTGGGACTGAAAATCAATATTGGAGCTCAAACTATAGTCATACTTGGAATTGCTTCAAAATTAAACAAGGTACTCCCTATAATTGTAAGGGAGTCACTGAATACAAAATAGAGAAGAGGCATGCCTCACTTAATCATAGATGTATTTGTTTTATAAATTCCTCACAGTCTTAGCACCCATTGCCCCAAAACATACCATAACAGGCATGGGTGCTCCAACCTAGTAAGCTGTAAATTAAAATCAAGTCTGGCATTTACATTATTAGTCTTAGCAAAATGGCGTCCTGTGGACCTTTACCTCCAGTTAAAATAATTAATGTGGTTATATTTGTTTCTGATTATTTCTGTAATTACTACAAACATTGGCTTAAAAGACAAAATTTTTTATCTTCTACTTGTGGAGATCAGAATTCCCATGTGACTTTCAGTGTATCCACAGTCTCATGCCCTCTGGAGGCTGTATGGGCGGGTCTGTCTCCTTGCCTTTACCATCTTCTAGAGGCCACTCATATTCCTTGGCTTACTGCCTCATCCTCCTGGCCAGCAGCATAGCATCTTGAAGTCTTCCCCTGACTCTGACCATTCTTTCTTTCTCTTGACTAAAAGGCCTAACAACCACATTGTGCCCACCTATATAACCCACATAATCTCCATCCCAACAGCCTTAATTTTATCACATCTAGAAAAGTCCCTTTACTAAGTAACATTTTCATAGTTTCCAGGGACTAGGGAATGGATGTCTTTAAGGGGCCATTATTCTCTGCCTATCACAGTGACCTGATATAAATTAAAATAGGGCTTTTAAAGATTGAGGCCTAATATCTAAGACCTATTTGGAGGAGGGGTGTTTACCTCCAGTACTCTGCCCTTTAACTGCATAATTTGACTTCTTATTAATCTTGGAAAGTAGAAATGGTGCCTCATGGTGGATCCTACAAACCTAATGCTGTGGTCCCATCCATTTAAGCCCCCAGACCCAATATTATAAAAATTACTTACTCCATTCAGGCAGTGACTGGTAAATATTTCAGTATTACAGATTTGTCCAATAAATTCTGATTGGTGCCTATTTCAGCAGCCACTAAGTCACAGTTTGTCTTTACCTCAGAAAGGACATGGCACATCTTATCACAGTACCTGGAGTTTATTGCCATGTTTTTAAAAGAAACCCGTCATGTGTGTCAGTTTTTCTAGTAATACATCAATACTGTCATATGCCTATTAATGACATTTTCCTCATGGACACATACATTAATTCTTTTGCTTTTCTTCTAAAACGTGCCTTTTAAAGCCTTTTGGGATGACCCAAAGTGGTTTGACTAACTGACGTTTGGCTGTTACAGGATTTTAATCTGAGATTCACTTTTACATATTATACTAGGTCTTTGATTCAGTAACCCCAGTGACACTTCCTCTTTGGGGAATGGAAGATCTTTTGTCTTCTCATTCTTGTTTCACCTCCTTGTGATGATGGAACTAGTATTCCAACAGCTCTCCAAGAAGGGGGTACATATCATTTAGTCTGTACATATCTAGAAATGTCTTTATTCAACATGCTCACAAGGGTGATGGTTTGGGCATGGGATATTAGAAGAGTTGCTCCTCTGTCTGCCTTTCTATAGGAGTCTCTTAGGAAGCCCCTTGCCATGCCACCTCTGCATCTATTATTGAACCTGTTTTTCTCCCTGGGAGTTTTAGGTTTTTGTTTTTATACCAGCTATTATTTTTTTAATATTTATTTATTTATTTAGATGTAGTTGCACATGATACCTTTATTTATATGTGGTGCTGAGGATCGAACCCAGGGCCTTGCACTTGCTAGGCGAGTGCTCTACCACTGAGCCACAACCCCAGCCCCTATACCAGGTATTATAAAAACTTTATTTTTGATGTAATTTTGTAAAGAATCTCAGAATTTGTCCTTTCTAAGGCATCGAGAAAGAAGGGAAAAGAAATACTTATTAGAACTTATTTTGCCACGAATTTTGTTGGGTTGCCTGCACATATGCTACTTTTTTTGTTATATGAGATTCCACAGTTTGATTTTGCACATACTGAGACATGTCTGGATTGTGGAAATACCCATTTGTAAAAAATTGCTTGGAGAAATGGAATGTTTGAGGACCCGAAAACCTGCTTCAGTCACTCATTTCCTTAGATTTCCCCATCTCCAGATTTTTGTCACATAATGGTTCCCCATTTCATTCTGCTTGTCTTACTTCTCTGTGCACACTGTTGCCTTCTGCCTCTTCATGTTTGCCGTTTCAGGGGGTGGTGGTGTTCAGTGATGTTACTGTAGACTTCTCCCAAGAGGAGTGGGAATACCTGGACTCTGTGCAAAGAGTTTTATACAGAGATGTGATGCTGGAGAACTACAGCAACCTGGTGTCAGTGGGTAAGGCTATCTACCCCACAGATTTCAAGATCTGTTAGGAATGTCTGCTTTCTACATTGTGAATTATTTAGCTGCCTTTAAAATAACTCTGAATTTGTGCTTTTCCACTCAGAGAGTTTGAATTTTGTGGAGATGGAAATAGGTGGCTTCATTACAGTGGAAATTTTTCTGGTTTTCTGTGTCCCTTCCTATAATTTCACTTATTTCTTCAACAAATGACTAGAAATGAATTCTGGGACATCCCAGCATAACTGTTTTTTTTTTTCCTGTAAACAGGACTTTCTATTTCTAAACCAGCTGTGATCACCTTATTGGAGCAAGGGCATGAGCCCTGGACAGATGGTCCAGTGCCAGCTAAAAGCCAGTCCTTACATAAGTGGCAGAAATCAAGAGTGTTGAAGAAGAGCAGTACAGGTGGTAATCCATCTATCTGTGAGGAGGTGACACCTTTGAGTCTGGAAGGTGAGCCTTGTAGACCTTGATCTATGGATCACTTTTACTTTTTTAACCAACCAGTCTTCTTTTACTCCCTTGAAAATTATTGCATCTACATTTGTATTTAAGTATTTTCTTAGCTACTGGAGGAATACAAAAAGGTACTCCTCCAAGTCACCAGTAGACGGCGCCTTTTCTCCTAGGACCAAATTTAGAATCACCTCAAGTGTTTCTCAGCTCTTGGTGGCTATGGGGCAGATTCCAGAAGAAAGGCCTCAGACATAGTAAGATAGTTCTACATTGATTGGTGCCAGTAGCCCTGGAAGTTCATGCCTGGAACTCTCCTGGACCCTTCTCTGTGTGTGTGTGTGCGCGTGTGCGCGTGTGTGCACGTGTGTTGAGTTTAATCTGTATAATTTCTCTGTAATAAACTGAATCCATGAGTATAACTGTTCTGAGTCCTGAGTCATTCTAGTGAATCACTTATCTTAAGGTCTTGCAGACCTCCTGAATGTACAGCCCTGTTCCTTTTGTGCAAAAAGGAAAAAGTTAACTCATTCTGTGATTACATAATAAGAAATGTAAAATATCTAGCGTATAAATAAATAGCCCTTCTATGGTTGCTGTTATGATGGAAGAATTTCTTACCTCAATTAGGTTGAAATGAGCAAAAGGTGTGGGTAAAGACTTTAACATGTATTCTGAGGTGTGCCTAATCCCAGCTACATGGAAGGCTGAGACAGGGAACCACAAGTTTGAAGCCAATCTGAGCAACATAGCTAAACTCTATCTCAAAAAAAATAAAATAAAATGGACTACGATAAAACTAGAGAAAAATACTCTAAGAACTCCAGAAGTCTATATAGTGATTCCTATGAAACTGTTGCTGAGTGCTAAAGCAAACATACATAGAATTAAGCCACATCAAGGCCAGCCAAAGAATGGCAGCAAGCTGTAATCTGAACAGTTCCAGAAGATAGCATAGAAATGAGACAGCCAGAATGTGCACTCCCTAGTATAGAATTAAAGTATTCTATAGAAAAATCTATCCTAGCCCTACCCTAACAGAGCTTAATAAAATCCATGAAAGGATCAAACATCCTTAAATCACCTGTCTACTAGAACAGAATACAAAAATCTTTGATAAAAATTAGCAAAGTTGGGCTGGGGTTGTAGCTCAGTGAGTGGTACAGTGCTTGCCTCGCATGTGTGAGGCACTAGGTTCGATCCTCAACACCACATAAAAATAAATAAATAAGATACTGTGTCCACCTACAACTAAAAAAAAATTAGCAAAGTTAAGCATTTGACAATATAACATTCTCGATTTCTAGCATTCAATTATAAAACACTAGATGTTGAAAAAGAAGGAAAATAGCAAAAATAGTCAACAGAAGTGACAGATGGAATTAGCAGACAGAATGTTAGAACAACTCTTCTAAATATGTGTAATAAGTTAATGGATTTAGGGGAACCCCTCCATGTAATGGCAAGAGACTGGAGAGACTACCTGCAAACAGAGCAATAAGAACTTGTTTTATTCTCTTGCATCTCAAAATTTTAAAGTACATGCAACAGTAGTTTTTCAGGAACATGTCTGGATTCCAAGGAATAAAGACAGTGATTCTCGACAGACAGGAAACCAATAAGGCACTGTGATTGCCCCGTCTTGCTTTGTTGAGACAGTGAGTCTTAGGATGCAGCTCAGAGAAGTCGGAAGAGCCCAACAAATTCCATGAGAAGACGGAGCTGAGTCCAGGGTGATCAAGGCAGCACATGTTCAGAGGAGCACAAAAGGATGAGCTGCAGAGTGAGGGAAGACTAAAGATCTGCAGAAGGGCTCCTTTAAGAGTTCAACAGATTACTGGTAAGCAGATGGGGAAATACCTGAGGCTTCCAGAACCATTTGGAAGGACTAGAAGGACCTATGCCCAGCACTCACACAGCCAGGAAAATACCTGCTCCCACTATCCAGACAGACTGAAAAGCCTTACAACTCTTCATGCACTGATGAGACTGCTCCACAGTGTCTTACCTCAACTGTCAGGCCATAGAACTACTCTAAAAGAAAGATCTAAAAGGATCAGATGACAACTTTCAAGTAATTTAATGATCTCAAAGCTTATTTAAAGGAATACAAAATCTAGTACTCAACAAGACAATTCACAATGCCTCATGTTCAATACAAGATTACTGTGCATGCCAAGATAGAAAAAGGATCCATAATGAGGACAATTTTTGTTAAAACCAACCAAGAAATGGTAAATATTAGAAGACATTTTTAAAGTTATAACTATATTCCAAGTGTTCAAAAGTTGAGCCAGACGTAGAACATCCTTTTAAGCACCCATGTTGTTTCTAGAGTAGAAAACCAAAAGCCTGCATTGGGTTGTACAGTGGATTCAATATTTCATGTTCAGAAAAGGTTGGTGAACTGGAAAGCAGCAACTGAAATGCAAAAGAGGAATGGGTGGATGTGACTTTTGGAATAACTTAGGCAACCTAATATACAAGTGTTTGGAGTATACTCCAAAGAGAACTGGCAGCAGAAAAAATATAAGAATGACCGAAAATTTGACAAAACGGATCCACAAGCTTCAAAGAACTTCAAATATAAGAAGCACACATATTTAAAGACTGTAAGACATAATCAAATAGCTCAAAGACTGTGTGAGCATCTCAGGTTTCATGATTTTTATGATCTTTAATCACATGGGCAGTTTCAATTATGGAAGCTAGTGTTTCTCAGTTGGTGTATACTGTACTTCAAGATCTGGAAATCTCATCTAAAATCAGTTGCTGCAAGGTGGTATTCATTGACTTTTATATAGGCCCATCTATGTTCCACACAGAGGGGTTAGACAGAGAACTTCCAAGCTTCTAACAAAGTCATTAAACTGGTAATCACTTTTTGTCCACAAAGTATTCTATCCTGTCAAATCAACCTGTATGAACTTGGACAGTTCTGTTGGTTCCCATTTAGCATATGCAATCCGTAGTGTTTAAATATTGAATTTATAGTTTCACAATACTAGGTAGTGCATTCCCAGTCAGATATAATGTCTAGTCATTTAATATATTTAGGTAAAGAAAATGTAAAGTCTGTTCATTCCAATTCTTATCCATGTTTCAGCAGTTCCACCAGTGGCTCTCATATCCTTACACTCTAACTCTGTCCCCCAGTAGGGTTTCTCTAGTGGATGTTTGAATCATTCTGTTTTGTGTTTCCATGTCAAGGAGTTCCAAAAAGTTTCTTCCTCACCTCTTGGTCAATTTGTGTTTGTGCATTATGAGTACATAAAGCCTTTGTATTCCTAGCTGGGGGTTGGGCTGAGGGACCCTGACTCTTTCATCAATCTTTACCCTGTTGAGTCTGATCACACCATAATTTGATATATGTATGCATCACACAATGATTGTGCCTTGCAGCATTTTAAGTTCTTCTTGAATAATAAATAGCCCAAGTTTTGTTTACCACCCATCAGTGTTGAAGGACCAACACAGACTCCTACTGATCCACCTTCCTTCCAGTAGTATTGTACTGAGACATTTGTTTGCTTCCATCAATGTCCACCTTATTCATCCCATTTCTTAATTTAAAGACGAGTGTGGGTGTAACTCAGTGGTAGAGCACTTGCTTAGCGTGCATAAGGCCCTGGGTTCCATCCCTAGTGCATGCGTGCATGCGTGCGCGCGCGCGCACACACACACACACACACACACACACCAAAAACCTTTAAAGATTTCTACCCTGTTTGATGAGTCTCTTGAATCTCCCCTTTATATTTCTGTCTTTCTCCATTCTCTTGCAGCTTACTCTAATTTCCATAACTGTTTCAGCATAATTTTTTCCTTTGGTAGCATCCCTGTGGCTGTAGCTCAGAATAGATGAAATGCAAGCTCGGCCCAGATTCTAGATCACAATAACAAAGGCATTTATTTTGTAGTTTGCTTATTTCATTTTAATTTGCTTTTCTTAATGTGTCTAGGGAGCCATCTAAGAACACAACATCATTTAAAATATTGTGATTAAATTACACAGCCTTTGGCTGTTAGGGCTGTGAACTACATTGGCAGGCAAGAGAAAAAAGAGAAGTCTGGTTGCATGTCCTACTGCTTAAAAAGCAGTCCACTTAGGTCAGCAAGTATGTGAAGGCCTTGGCTGCTCTGCCTGTGGCCCCAGCCCAGAGTGCAAGACAATTGTCTCTACTATTCAGGTATAGGTTAGAACTGCCAAATGTATTGTTTAAAGGCATGTAGAAAAATCTCATCTATGTGAAAGTCACTGCCATAAAGGTTCTGGTTATAGAATAAAGAGTAAATGTCATGTCATCAAAATTAAGAGAAGCTCAGGTGCCTTTTATAAAAAGCAGCCTTTTGAAATTTAAACACTTAAGTAGACTTGCTTGGTTGACAGAGAAGTTATAAGACAGCTCAAGAGCTTTCAGGCCTAAGACAAAGCTATGTTGCTTAGATGTTAAAATCTTATAGTGGATTGTGCAATTGCTGGGTTGCCACCTAAAATATTTTAATGTAATCTATTGAAAACGATTTTACCAAACTGTAAGTATTAAAAAGTATATGGGCAAAAAAAAAAAAGTAAGTAGTGAACCAATTCATCAGGAAGTGGATCTGTTATTTCTGAAGTTCACTGATAACTTTTTACTTCTAATAACCAGCTGAGCATGAGTAACTACGATTCCAGTTTTGGATTAACTAGTTACTGAGAATCCAAATTTTGTCAACTGCTCTTTCAACCTTCTTTGTCCCAAGCCATGATTTCACTATGTGTCAGTGAGCCAGAATCATTTTAGCAACCCCACCTTTTGATACCAGCTGTAGTTTTTGAGATTACCAAGCCCACTCTTAGATTCAGGAGTTTACTAGATGTATTATCAGATTGCTTGAAGCTGTTTTAACCACATTCATGGTTTATTACACTGGAAGAATAGAGATTCAGATCAGCAAAGAAGGGGCACATAGGAGAGGGTCCAGGAATAATGTGATATGAGCTATCATTTGTCCTTTTTCAGGGGAATCACATGGATAGCACTTTTTACTTTTTCTGATACAATATGTGGCAATACACATGGAATACTGTCAACCAAAGCTTTTGTGTCCAAGGTTTTCATTAGATGTTAACAGACTATTTTATGTAACTTAAGCTCTGAGTTACTCCATGCTGCATAGAACAGAAGTTTTCAGGCTGTGCCTAAGCCTTTGTTACTCCATTTTGTAAAGCAATAGTTTGCTATAAGCTGCTCTGTTTTGTGTTTAAGGGCTGAGGTGTAATGATTCCACACCTTGTTTGTACAAATAGATTGTGGGAAGCCATTCTGACACGTGACTGGGCGGCTCCCGTTAAGGGTCTGAGGCGTTCTGGCTGTGTCGGAACTTTCCCGGCCCTTTCCTGATGAGAGAACCCGTCCGTGTGGGGGTGTGACTGACCACTGACGCCAAGGGCCCAATCACTGACCCTGACCTTGGAGTGCAGTCCCCCCTCAACCTTCATTGGATGGAATTCTCCCCTGAATTTCTTGTTCCCCAATAAAAGGCTACTCCCAGGCGTGTTCACTCTCTCTCTCTCCTGCTAGCCCTGAGTAATCCTTGCTGCCCTGCTGGGCGGTTAGAGGAGGGAACCAGAGAGGGGAGCCGTCTTGGACCTGGCAATAGAAATAAGGTAACTGAGTCTGTGTGTTTTATTTCGATCTCTTCTAGCTAACTTTTATGCCAAGAACCTCATTAATGAAACCATTGCGCAGGCCGCATGGTGGAATAGATAACCACTATCTACCTGCCATAACCATAGGCATAAGCTGATAAATAAATTGTGCTAGTAAGGATAACCACCTGTACTTGGGTGCAGTGGCACATGCTTATAATCCCAGCAGCTCAGGAGGATGAGGCAGGAGGATCACAAGTTCAAAGCCAGCTTCAGCAAAAGTGAGTGCTAAGCAACTCATTGAGACCTTGTCTCTAAATGAAATACAAAATAGGGCTGGGGATGTAGCTCAATGGTCAATCCCCAGTACCCCCTGCCCCCCAAAAATGACCACCTCTGAACTTATAAAATTAATCAGAAGCACATGGATACATGCGCATATTAAACTCATATCAGACAAAACATGAGCTCATCAAACATGCCAGACCACCAAATGATGCTACCCACTCACTCAAGACCCATAAAAGAAGGAGCATCCCAAGACAGGACAGAGTGGCTTCCTGACCCCATTCAGCCATAAATAAAATGAAATTATGTCATTTGCAGGAAAATGGGTGGAACTAGAAACCATCATGTTGAGCAAAATAAGTCAAACTCAAAAGGTCAAGGATCATATGTTTTCTCTCATATGCAGAAGCTAAAGAGGAAAAAGGAAAAGAAGGTGGTATAGATCTCCTAAAAATCAAAGGGAGTTCAGTAGAGGAAAGGGACTAGGGGGTTAGAGGGAGGGCAGGAACGGGAAAATGCCAGAAGTGATACTGGCCAAATCATATTGTTATATTGTGTGCATGTACAAATATGTAACAACAAATCCCAACATTATGTACATCTGCAATGTACCAATAAAAAATGTGGAAAACAAGACATACCACCTCCACCTATTAAACTAAGAAAAAATAATAAAAGCAAAACCTATAAATCTAAAAAAAAAGAAATTAAGATTGGAACAAATGAAATTGTGATTGCCCAGTTTATGACTATCAGGTGATCCACAATTTTCAGTGAACTGCCACTGATGAAAGTGGTGTACCTGAGAATTTATTATTCTTCAGTAAAATCTGAAAATGTGGAAAGAAACAAACGTGTTTGGTCTATATTAATGACGTAGCATGCTCATGACACTAGGTAAATATAATATTGTCAGGGAGGACATATTCAAGCCTTAAGAGTTTCTCTACCAAGTGGCGGGCAAGGGTCAAACCTTTATTCAGGCTAGGTTAATCCTTTACTGCAGAGGATCTCAGAGTGACTCAGTGATTTGTCTCCAAATTTAAGCTTGTATTTTAGTGCTGGGATATAAAACAACCCAATTTTAATATTCTTACTATACCACATCACCCATTTTATTTTGTCCCACTTATCTGAACTTACAGATTTCTCCCACCATCTGTCACCAATGTAGCCATTGCTCCACAAATAATGTTTCATGGAATTCTTAAAGAAAAAAAAGCATTTTCAAGAAATTCACATATTTTGAAGTCCAACCATGGCAGTCTTCCCTAAGTCCATCCATTCCTGCATGACTCATTTGATGGTTTCCCTTAGGTTATAATCAGTCTGGATTTCTACCTTTTATCAGCCTAACTTCAGATCATTTCCAATATATTATTTATTAGCAAGCTTTCTGTCCTTTCACCTCAGAAATATCCTCTGGTTTTACTTATTTAATTCATGTCATAGGTATGATATTCCTCTCCTTTTGACAATACACATGTATGGTAATGTATTATAAAAATGTATGACCAAGCAAGCCTTCCTTCAATTTGGATGATCATGTAGGACAATATATATTTGTCAATCCTCCCAAATAATTCAGTCATACAAATGTTTGAGAATCATTGACAATCTCTTATTCATTTCTTTCATCTTCCTATATGGATTTATTCATTCTTTGTTTTCCTTGTTCATTTGTTGAAAGGCACAGCTCTAGTCAGTAGTGCCTTACTATTCACTATTAATTTATTTGAAAAGATTTTTTGTTTCTATCTTTCCAACCATAGAAGTTTTATTTCTCCCAAATTAAGAGAGGAGCAAATGTTTTATTTTTATTTCATTTCAGATCAACCATTGAAGTCTGCATCCAAGAATCAACCTTTAAAGGGAAAAATTAGTAATGTAAAATCATTCCCATTAGAGTTCATGGAAGGAATTATAAGGCCATGCTCAAGTGTCCAAGATATTTGGGAATGTAAAGACCAGTTTGAGGGACCATATTCTTATCAAGAAGCACATTTCAGCAAAGTAATAATCACCCGTGAAGATGTACCTGCTTTTGATCAGCAGGTATCTCTTACTCTATACCACAGATCTGGAAATGAGGAGAAACCATATTACTGTAAGGAATGTGGGAAGGCTTTTAGTCGTGGATCACAACTTACTCAACACCAGAGAACTCACAGTGGTGAGAAACCCTATGACTGTAGGGACTGTGGGAAGGCCTTCAGTTGTAGTTCAGCACTTTCAAGACATCAGAAGACTCACACTGGTGAGAAACCCTATGAATGTAAGGAATGTGGTCAGTCCTTTAGTTGTGGCCCATATCTTCTGCGACATCAGAGGATTCACACTGGTGAGAAACCTTATGAATGTAGACAATGTGGGAAGGCTTTTAGTTGGATGTCATATTTTTCTCAACATCAAAGAATCCATACTGGTGAAAAACCCTATGAATGTAAGCAGTGTGGAAAAGCATTTTGTTGGAAGTCCTATCTTACAAAACATCAGAGAATCCATACTGCTGAGAAATTCTATGAATGTAAGGAATGTGGGAAGGCCTTTAATAAGACCTCAAAACTTGTTCAACATCAGAGAATTCACATTGGAGAGAAGCCCTATGAGTGCAAAGAATGTGGAAAAGCCTTTATTAGGAGCTCAAGCCTCATTCAGCATCAGAGAATTCACACTGGTGAAAAACCCTATGAATGCAAGGAATGTGGAAAGACCTTTAGTTGTAACTCATACCTTTCTCAACACCAGAGATTTCACACTGGTAAGAGACCCTATGAATGTAAAGAATGTGGAAAGACCTTTAGTTACCACTCAAACTTCACCATACATAAGAAAATGCATACAGGTGAGAAACCCTATGAATGCAAGAACTGTGGCAAGGCCTTTACTAGGAGTTGGAACTTTATTCGACACCAGAGAATTCATAATGGTGATTAACTCTATGACTGGAAAAAAATACATACAGGATTTTTTGATGGTTCAGATTTTTTAAAACCTGAGAGTTAAAAAATAGTAGACCATCTTATAATGTAATTGTTAGGAAAAGCTACCAATGGCCTACAAAATTTACTAAGCCTCCCAAATTCCACACTTACAACCTTATTGTAAATATCAGAAAAGTTCTTATTTGAAAGTAACCATGTGAATTTATCTCCTTAAATAGACCATAGTTTATTCAGAATCAACTTTGCAACCATTTCAGATTTTACTATAAAAGTATGGATATGTCTAAATCAATAATTTAACCACAAATTCTTATTAATTTCTTTATTCCACATGTTTGCACTGCCTCCTGTTATTGACACATTATATTAATATTGACCTGTGTTTCAGGACCTTATTTGCCTTTACAGATACTCAAAGTATTTAAATATATAAATTTGATATTTTATATAACAGATTTATATCTGTTTGTTTTAAAAAGATGGACTTACTTTCCCTTTTATGAAAATATCATAAAATTTTATGTTATATAAAGAAGCACAAGGGAAAAATCTTTTATTTCTATCAAAAAATCCACTGTCAGTGGGATCCAATGATATGTGTTTATGAAATATTTACATGCCATAATAACATTTTTTACCTACCATTTCTGTGCCAAAGAAATTTTCCTGTCAGTATATAGATCTCCTATAACTGTTAATGGCTTCACTGGGTTCCCTATGATGCTGTATTTATCAAATACCTTTGATTGTTTGCCTCCAAGTTGGGAAGGTCATGAACAATGTCCTTTAAAAAATAAAAATTTTTCTAGACATATCTTTGTACATTTATCTGGTTTTTTTTTTCTTTTTTAGGAAAGTTTTTATTGCAAATAATACATAAATACAATTCTTGTGAAAAAAGATTTAAACATCAGAAATTCCTAAGTTCTTGTTTCATGCCTATCCTGATCCCTGTACACTTTCCAAATGTAAGCACTGTTATTAATCTTTAGGAATCAAAATCTTTTATCTATGTTTTAAAAACTGTTAATGTTTTATGATAGTATATTTATGCATTGTGAAATACAGGTGGAAATTCTACCTCATTGTGTGAGAATCAGTAAGTTTGTAAACCTAAAGTGCTTATTTGTTTTATAATAAATATTAGGCAAACGTTGGCCATCGGGATAATTATTTGTGGAATAGAATTTGTTGTATACCAGTTTACATATTTCTTATGATGATTGTTGTACTATCGGTGTTATAAAAATTGGGGAGACTTTCACCAGCAACTTTTCTTTATTGAATAAAGTTTACCCTGAAGAATCAAAAGCACAAACTGACCCTAATATATATGAAGCATTTTACTCAGACCATAAGCTGCATAGATATTATGCAAGCCTGAAACGCTACATGGTGTAGCTGAGCACGACTTTCCAAAGAGCAGAAATAAGATGTAGAAATGTGTCTCTATAATCAGTTCTGGAAAAAAAGAATGGATGTCTAACCATGCTTTTTGACAAAATTATAACAAAAATCTTGATAATAGTATAGCATGAAACATCCAGAGATCCATTTATGGCCCATCTAAATAACCACTGGTTTGAAACAAATCAAGACTGAAATTACATAATCTTTGGAAGAAAATGAATGACAAAAGGCCTACTGTGTAGAAAATCCTGGAAGTACAGTAAATGCTACATGTCCTATTAAATATCTAAGCCTAAGTGCCACGCCTACCATCACCATCCAATCCCAGCGCTGCGCGCCAGCCCACGAGATCCACGACCACCGGCCGGCCCCGCCCATAGGACCGAGAGCCTCTGCGCAGAACGGCGCGGTAGCAGCCAATCCACAGCCGGAAGGCCCTGTCGGGGCAGAAGCGGCCTGGGCGCTAGGGCCGCCGGGAAGTGTAGTCCTGGGGTCGCAGCGCGGTCAGAGCCCGCACCAGCGGGACGGGTAAGGTAGGTGGATCCAGCTAAGTTGACTGCAGCTTGCGGGGCAGGTACGCTTCGCAGAGGTGGACGGTGTGAATCTGGGGCCGGCGCCAGAGGCTCCGGAGGCTCTTCGGAAACGGAGCCTGGAGCGAGAAAGCGGTAGACGCGCCCCTGGCGGCGGCGGCGGCGGCACTGGGCCGCCTGGAGGCATCGGGTTTCCCCCAACAGAGCACGGCCTCCGCAGGGGAAGCTTCCTCGGTCCAGCACGAGGCCCTTGCGGCGGCCTTACCCATCGAGTTGGGAAACTTCAGTCAACGAACTTTTGTTTGAGTTTCTAGAGAAATATATGCTCATTGAGAAAGTGCATTTAAAGGAAAAAAATAACAGCATCTCACTGACTTGTAGTGTTTAACTGTTAAAGGAGGCTTAACTTTGGAAATGTGTTTTATATCTTTTTTTTGGCTGTTGATGGACCATTTATTTTATTTATTTATATGTGAGAATTCAGCCCAGTGCCTCACACGTGCTAGACAAGCGCTCTAACATTGAGCTAGGGTCCCAGCCCCATATCATATATTTTTTAGTTTCATGCATTCCTACCCAGATATCTTAGTGTTTCCATTCCTGTCTATTATTTGCAGTGCACTGATCCTGTCACTATTTCATAGCCCTTACCTACTGTGCTCCCTTCCTTCTTCTCTCGCTCTCTCTCACACACACACACGTTTACACTCACTTGTCTGAACCCTTGCTTGCAGTTCTCTGGCTCTGATTAAATACGGTTCTGATTAAAGTAAAATCCCTGACTACTTGCATCTGTACCCATTCAGTTTAACTGAATTTAGCTGGGAGGGGAAAAAAAAAAAAAAAACAACACTAAACACACCCACAGTTCTGACTTTAAAGTTTTAGTCTTCTTCCTGATAATATCTTTGTGTGTCACAATAACATTGGCATTTTGGATTTGATCAATAATGTTTCCTTGTGGTTAAATTTACATTATTTTTAGCAGGAATACAAAAATGATGCTGAATTCTTTTTAGTGTATCCTATCAGGAGTTAGTTACTGTGGGTTATTCCCATCTGGCTCTAGTCAGCATTAGGCACTTGGTTAAGGTAGTACCTCTTGAGTATTCACTGTGAAATTGTTGTCCTGTCCTTTGCATTTACAAAACTGTCTTTTGGGGAGATACTTTGAGATGATATAAATACCCTGTTAGTTACTTTTCAAATTTCTGTGCACAGATTTTAAATATTGGTGCTTCAAATCTGTTATGGTGCTTGTCAAATGTTGATTTTTCTAATTCCATCATTCTGGAATAATTCCATCATTCCTTTATTTGTTAATCAGAATTCTACAGAAATGAAGAGTTTTTCCTCTGCTACACCATGCTTATTAGTTTACTTCCTTATGTCTCTGAACTCTTGGACACTTTATTAAATATATTATAATCCTGTAATGATTTGAGAGGGGTAATATACTTATTCCAGGGGAGCCCTTCAAGTTCTTCTGTCCTTTAGCCCATTTCCCTATCATTTTTTGAGAACTTCCTCACTTTTTGACATCAAGAAGTTCTAGGCTTATTTGATATTTTCTTCATTTCAACCATATAATAAGCTGCTTCTCTGAGGAGTCTTGTGTCCATTATTGGCCTATTGTGTTCAAAAGCCATGATTTAAAGTAACTTAATGGTCTTGGGAATATCATTGGTTGTTGATTGTTTTCTGGATGGAGTTAGGAAGTAGATGTACGCGTGTTCGTCCATGTACATACATGTGCACATTCAGCATCTGTACCCGTTCTTATATCTAGTTATCTGTGTATTAAAGCCCACATGTGTATTAAAGTTTCCATTGACACTTCCAATTTCAACCCAATATCATATGTCTTATTCTACCATTTGCTTTCGCTTTCCCATATTTACAACTTTTTCTCTGACAGATTCCTGGCTTCTATAATATACACTGTGTTATTTCATCAATCTTAGAATGCACAAAAAAATAGTTTCGAAATTGCCATTCTATGCAAAGGAAGAAAGTACTGATATTGTTTAACATCATATTTATTTATTTGTTTATTTATTTATACATATTGTGGATTGAACCCAGAGACACTTTACCACTTAGCTACGTTCCCCAGCCCTTTTTATTTTATTCAACTCCATCCCCAGTCCTATTTATTTATTTATTGAAACAGGGTCTCACCACATTGCTCAGGGCCTTGCTAAGTTGCTGAGGCTGGTCTTGACTTGCAATCCTCCAGCCTCAGCCTCCTGAGTCATTGGGATTACAGATGTGCACCACTGTGCTCAGCTTTACATGCTTTTAATCACATTAATAAAAGTGTTTCCATGTTGACAGTTACAAGTAGAAGTACATTGATTGTAATTTTGTGCTATCATATGTCATTTAGACACACATCTCATTTTGACCCTACCGGCAAATTATGGTGGGAAAACCTGAAGCCTGTGCCCACACATCCGATTTAAAACCATTACTGAGCATTGGGATAGAACCAGACACAGTGGAATGACATTAACAAGTTGGCAGACTAGGACTCTCTGGGCCCTTGGCTCCATAGAGACATAAAAAATAAAGCAAAACATAATGGGGGACTGACTAAAATAACTATATAGGAGCTCTGAGATACAGTTAAAAGGTTCATAGCAATCAAGTGAATGCTTTCAATCAAGAAAAAGCCACATTCAATGAATGTAATTCATCACATCAGTAGAATCCCATGATTCTCTCAATAGATGCAGAAAAAGCATTTGATAAAATACAGCATCCATTTTTGCTCAAAACACTAGAAAAACTAGGGAAAGTAGGAACATACCTCAACATTGTAAAAGCTATCTATGTCAAACCCATGGCCAACGTTATATACAAGGAGAAAAACTGAAAGCATTCCCTCTAAAAAAACTGGAACAAGACAGGGATGCCCTCTTTCACCACTTCTGTTCAACATAGTCCTTGAAACTGTAGCTAGAGCAATTTTTAAAAAGGATACAAATAGGAAAAAAAGAACCCAAACTCTCCCTGTTTACCAATGACATGATTCTATATTTAGAAGTAAAAAAAAAAACAAAACAAAAACTCCACTAGAAAACTTTTAGAACTCATAAGTCAATTCAGAAAGTAGCAGGATATAAAATTAACACCTAAATTAATTGCATTCATATACATCAGGGATGAAACAATGGAAAGAGAAATTAGGAAAACTGTCCCATTCACACTAGCCTCAAAAAATAAAAATAAAATATTTGGGAATTGATCTAACAAGAGGTGAAAGACCTCAACAATGAAAACTACAGAACTCTAAAGAAAGAAATTGAAGAAGACCTGAGAGGACGGAACAAGCTCCCATGTTCTTGGATGGGCAGAATTAATATTGTCAAAATGGCCATACTACCAAAAGTGCTACACAGATTTAATGCAATTCCTATTAAGCTTCCAATGACCTTCTTCATAGAAATAGAACAATCAGTCATGAAATTCATTTGGAAAAATAAGAAGCTAAAGCAATCCCAAGCAAGAAAAGTGAAGCATGAGGCATCACAATACCAAACCTTAAATTACACTACAGGGTTGTACTAACAAAAACAGCATGGTATTGGCATCAAAACAGAAATGTAGGCCAATGGTACAGAATAGAAGTAACAGAGAAAACCCCATATAAATATAGTTACCTCATACTAGACAAAGTTGCCATAAACGTACATTGGAGAAAAGGGGCTCTTCCACAAATGGTGGTGGGAGAACTGGAAGTCCATATGTAGCAAAGTGAAATTAGACCCCTTTCACTCTGGACAAAACAACTCAAAGTTGGGCTGAGGTTGTGGCTCAGTGGTAACATACTCATCTGGCATGTGTGAAGGAGTGGGTTCAATCCTCAGCACCACATAAAAATAAATAAATAAAATAAAGGTATTGTGTTCACCTACAATTAAAAAAATATTAAAAAAAAAACTCAAAAGTGGATCAAGGACCTAAGCATTAGACCAGAGACCCTCATCCAACCAGAAGAAAAAGTAGGTCCAACTCTATCATGTTAGCTTAGGAACCAATTTCCTCAACAAGCGCAAGAAGTAAAATCGAGAATCAATAAACAGGATGGTTTCAAACTAAAAAGCTTCTTCATAGCAAAGGAAACAATAAATAATTTGAAGAGAGAGCCTACAGAATAGGAGAAAATCTTTGCCTATATCTCAGAGCATTAATCTCCAGGATATATAAAGAACTCAAAATACGTAATACCAAAAAAACCAATAACCCAATCAATAAATGGGCAAAGGAACTGAACACTTCCCAGAATATGATCAGTCAACAAATACACGAAAAAATGTTCAATATCACTAGCAAGAGAAATGCAAATTAAAACTACACTGAGATTTCATCTCACTCCAGTTAGATGCAATTATTAAGAATAAAAGTAACAATGTTGGCAAGGATGTTGGGGGAAAGGCACACTCACACATTGCTGGTGGGACTGCAAATTGGTGCAAACAATCTGGAAAGCAGTATGGAGATTCCTTAGTAAACTTGGAATGGACCCACCATTTGACCCAGCTATCCCACTCCTTGGTTTATACCCAAAGGAGTTAAAAACTTAAAATCAGCATACTACAGTGGTGGCAGCCACATCAATGTTTATAGCAGCTCAGTTCACAATAGCTAAGCTAGGTGCCCTTCAACAGATGAATGGATTAAAAAAATGTGTTACATATACACCACAGAATATTACTCGGCATAAAGAAGAATGAGATTGTAGCATTTGCGGGTAAATGGATGTAACTGGAGACAATCATGCTAAGTGAAATAATTCAAACCCAAAAAAACCAAAGGCCATATTTTCTCTTCTGAGATGCAGGTACTGACTCACAATTGGCAGGGGAAGGGGATTAGGGGAGGTTCACTGGATTGAACCGGGCAGGTGGGGGGAAGGGGGAGATAGGAATAAGAAAGACAGTAGAATGAACATAACTTTGGACATCACTTTCCTATGTTCATATAGGAATATATGACTAATGTAACTCCACATCATGCACAATCACAAGAATGGGAAAGCATATTCTATGTATGTACGATATGTCAAAATACATTCTACAGTCATGTATAACTAAAAAGAACAAATAATAATTCTTTTAAAAAAGACTTGAACCAATTAAAAAAAAAAAGAAAAGAAAAAGCCACATTCAAAATGGCAGGAAGCCTTGAGGTGATTTTACTCTCCCTTAGCCCAACACCTCCCTGGTACGACGAGGTTCACAGTCTGAAGGAAGCAACAGCCTAGTGCTCAATTTCCTTGATTGAAATGTGAGGAGGAGAAATTACCATATTTTGCAACATTTGGACCTGTCTGGTCACCATTTGACCCAGCTATCCCACTCCTCGGTTTATACCCAAAGGAGTTAAAAACTTAAAGTCAGCATACTACAGTGATGGCAGCCACATCAATGTTTATAGCAAAGGACTGGTTTAGGGACTGGTTTCTGTTTTGACTTGAAATTTAGATGGGGAAATGCAGCATAGCCTGCATCTCATCCTGGAGAAAACTTGGAAGCAGCAGACACCTTGTGAAAGCTGTAGGGGAACTATACACCTGCAGATGCTTTAGGTAAGAGACACAGGTGAGAGCATATACTAGAGTATCTGCAGCCTTGGAGAGGAGTTAGAACAATGCTCTTTAGGAAATTAAGATATTTCAAAGTAGACATATATACTCAGGAATAAAGATAAAGCATACAAAGGGCTAGGTAAGATGCATGCTCAGAAAAAGATCTGAAAAGATCTTAACCCTTTACCTAAAATTTCCCTAAGTTTGCAAAATGACAGATCTATAAGTCCAAGAAGCTCAAAGAACAAATTCCAAGTAGGATAAAACCAGAGAAATCTACACAGATACATTATAATCAAACTGTCAAAAGGAAAAAAGACAGTCTTAAAAGCAGGAAGAAAATGTGGCTTGTCATGGAAGGGATTTCTAGTAAGATTATCAATAGATTTCTTGGAAAAACCTTACAGGCCAGAAGGCAGTAAGATGATATAGTTAAAATGCTGAAAGGAAAAATAAGATGTCTCTGTTGAGAATCACATATGGAAAAGTTGTCATTCACAAACAAGGGAGAAATTCAGACATTCACAAGTTAAAAAAAAAAAAAAAAAAGTTGCTGGGCATGGTGGCACACGCCTGCAATCCCAGTAGCTCAGGAGGCTGAGACAGGAGGATCATGAGTTCAAAGCCAGCCCCAGCAAATGTGAGGCACTAAGCAACTCAGTGAGACTCTGTCTCAAAATAAAAAGGACTGGGGATGTGGCTCATAGTTAAACTCCCCTGGTTTCAACCCCCGTAACAAAAAATAAAATAGATTGTTATCAATTTAGGATGTTGTGCTGGGGCTGTAGCTCAGTGGTAGAGAACTTGCCCAGCATATGTGAGGCACTCAGCACCACATTAAATAAATAAAAGTCCATCAACAACTAAAAAATACATTAAAAATAAATAAATAGGGGCTGGGTTTTTGGCTCAGCAGTAGAGCACTTGCCTAGTGCATGCAAGGCCCTGGGTTTGATCCTCATCGCCACATAAAAGTAAATAAATAGAATGAAGGTATTGTGTCCAACTACAACTAAAAAATAAATATAAAAAATAATAAATTAAAAATAAATAAATGAATGTAGGATGTTTATAATATATTTTCCATGGTGACAACAAATAAAATATCTAGAATATTCACAAAAGGCAAAGAAAAGGGAAAGGAAGTCAACTAGATACAAAGGAAGGCAATGATGGAGGAATGTCAGACCAAAAAGCTACGACACAGAAAATGAATAAATGGCAAAAGTAAGTCTTTCCTCTTAGTAACTACTTAG